TAGATAGATAGATAGATAGATAGATAGATAGATAGATAGATAGATAGATAGATAGATAGATAGATAGATAGATAGATAGATAGATAGATAGTCAACTCCCCTAGTGTACTATAATATGTATTTTGTCAATAAACATACCTCACTCGTGCATTTGAGAGTCAGTACGCATTTTAATACTAGCGAGTTCCTTCAAATGAAATGCATAAATGAATCCTAAGGATTGATTCACAGAAATGTGTACTGAAGAGATGGCTTCTCCCTGTCTGTGATCCCTTCGCCGTAACTTAATCCAGATAATGATCCTTGTTCAATCGGCTGTCAACAGGAGGCCGTACACTTGTGAATGCTGACTTGTGCATTATTGTCACTCCAGGAATGGCTTTCCCCAAGTCCTTTATTACGAGCCCAATTTCATCAAGGGACATTTCAATCTACCGCCGCTGTTTTCCTTTGGGTTATTGTTTGTAATCAATGTTGCACCGGCCAGGTTCCAGGTAATTAAAACCCTCGGCAGTTGTAGAAGTCATTGTGGGGGGAAAAAAATGTTTCTCTTCTGTGGATGATGCTGGTGAGCAGATAATCAATTCTGAAGGACTAGATGATCCTCCTTCCCCCACCCCCAACCCTCTCAGATGGATGTGTGCTGCCTTTCCATGCTTGATAGCATGCATTAGAAAAGTTGCCAGCATCTGCAAACTTAAGGGGGACCTTCCTTAATCACCCTTGGAACATCATTTATTTCTCATACATATCAAGAATCTTCAGAAGGTGGAAGAAAAGGGCATTGTTGAAATGTCTTTACCATAATTAACTGTGACATGAGTGTTAATTGAGTATATGAGTATAATTTCATGGTCTGTACCCTTTCTAACCCTCCAATACTGTCTGTACATTAAGTGTAGGGCACTATGGATTTACCTATGAATTATAGCCTGCTGTAATTAATTTCTCCTTGTTGAATCAAGAGTTCTTCATGCAAAGTATACTGTGTTTGTTTCTCACGTAGATTAAGATGGACCATTGTCAATGTTCTGGTAAATAACTCTTGATGGTTTATTTCCAAAGGAAAAGGAACTTGAAAATCTGGAACTGAAACACACACACACACACACACACACACACCCCAGGGGAGAAAACTTCCCACCTAATTCAAACTGCAAAGTCCCCCCCCCCCATTACACACAATCATCACACGCCCCAATGAGGGCACCCTTCAAAATCTGAATGACTCTCATCCACACCCCTCCAGGTGCTGGTGAGAATGTCCTTGGTTCCCAGAAGAAAGAATGTTGCTTTGACCTACAAGTTCCCCTCAGCTATCTTTACTACCCCCACCCTTCTCCAGAGCTCTCTCCAGCCTCGCTGTGGCAACCCTGAAGACATTCCAACAGTAGTAGATTCCTAACTGGTTTACTACTGGTTCACTGAGAGGGCGTTTTGCACATGCGCTGATTGCTTTTCCTGCTCGCGTGCCCACCACACATTGCTGTGCATGCGCAGTTGACTGAAAACTGTTCTGTGCACGCGCAGAAACATGCCAACGACAGCAGAAGATACCATGGAACCAGTTCAGGGGCATGGCAGGCCTGGTTACTGATGGTTCCAGCTACCCAGGCTGCCATGCCACTACCGGTTCCACCAAACCGTTCTGAACCGGTAGGAATCCACTAGTGCATTCGAAGATGGCTCCAGGGTTGACACCAGTCCTCAAAGCTGCTACAAAATTATAATTTTAATATTATAATTAAAATGTTAAAATTATAATAATTATAATTTCCCAAAGGAGTGATGCTATTAAGGAGTATTGGGGGGAAATAGCACTGGTGTTGTGGGGGGGAGGGGGTTGGGGGGAGATCAGTCAACGGATGTTTGAGTAAAGCTAGCCAAATGGAATTATTTTCTGAGATATTTTGGAATGTCGAATGGCATCTTTGGCTTAAAAGAAGTGAGCATCGTTATTGTGGCCACTTAGTTTTCATGAAAAATAGGTATCCCATCATTCTCAGTTTGTTTCCATAAATGGAACAAATATTATAAAATTAACATTCTTTCCTTGAATGTGTTCAGGAATGACTCTAAACCATAAGTCATTTCTTCTTGGAACCCCTTAACTACTCTGGAAGGCAAGGGATATATGTAATGACATCAAAACTAAACTTCTGAAATGTTTCACTTTCATTATTAATTTGACTTTCCTTGTCCCTTTCCCCTTTTGTCCTCCTGCTCATTTACTTAAACAAAAAAAAATATAGTAATTTATTTAAGCTGTTAATTTGCAGCTTTTATTTAGTCTCAAAGTATATTTACAAATGCTCGTTTTAATTTGGGAAGCATGATGTCATTTTATGCCCAATAAATTTGCAAATGGCTTATAAAAGAAATGTACGCTCAGCCTCGAAATTAACTGCTCTCTGAGGGGAAGGAATGAATCTTTCCAACTCTCTTCCTCCAATGACAGTGTTGAAAAGGTTATATAAAATAGCTTTGTGCCATGAACTACCCAGATGCCCCCAGAAACAAAATGGATGCATGGCTTGACAAAATGATCCTTCCTAAAATAAGGTTTCCTACTACCCACATGGGGGAAATACATCTAGTTGAAAAACATGTTTGCTTCTAATGAGGCTAAGAACCACAAAAACACAGACCCTACAAGTTAAAAGTGAGTGACATAACCAATAGTCCATCTGTGGGCCTCAAGAATTCCCAAGAGTAGTAATCCACCAAGCTTTGCTTTCAGTGAATATCCTCTGCTTTTCTGTTTTGCTTTCAATGGCTATTCAAGGAAATGTACAAGGTGACATTTACAATAAGAATAGCAGTTAGACTTATATACTAGTGGTGAAATCTATTTTTTTTNAGTCTCCGAATACTCTTCAAAGGCTGCCCCAATGCAATGCACCAGACAGCCTCTTCTAAGTCCAGTCCCAGATTGGTGACCAGTTGGGGAGCCCAAAAGGAAGGTCTGTGACCTTAAATGTGGCAGCCTTGCATAAAAAAATATGGGGCAGCCTGGGATGCCTTATTAGTTCTTAATCAGCTCTGATCAGATTGAATAAAAAAAAATCACATCTGAATTTGAAAGTAGATGTCTCCCACCACCCAGCTGAGAATGGAGGACTGATCCATCCTGGCCACCTAGAAAGTCACTTAGATAAGATGGGCAGGGCGGACGTTAATTAATTAATTAAGAAGCACTAGAGAGGACTCACCAGAAGAGACGGGAGTGCAGAACTGCACCTTGGCAGCCATGATTTCCTCATCTCGTTCAAATGGGATATCCCCACATGCCATGTCATACAGCAGGATTCCCAAGGACCAAACAGTGGCTGGGAGAGCATGGTACTGCTGGAATTCCACCCACTCCGGTGGACTGTACACCCGGGTACCTGAAAAGAAGACGAGGGAAAGAAACAGCTTGCGTCAGGCTCCAACAACCAAGAAAGACACGTTCAGATTCTCTAGGCAGCTAACTTGATTGTTCCTCGCTAGAGATAGAAATCCTATGTACCAAATTAAAGCAGAGTACTTGCACCATACATTCTGGGAGCTATTAGGGAGCAGCCATCTTTAACTTCTTTCTCCCACCCAAACCAACTAAACTGTGATGTTTCTTGCTCCTCTGGAATGCACTTCCTCCCCTGCTGTGAATACGGACAACATTCCATCACAGCTAGTTAGCATCACTGAGTAATGAGTCATGTATTTAGTTTAGGCTTGGATTTAACGTTCTTATGAGTTTTCCCTCTGTAGATAGCAATCTGGAATACTTCCTCTCCTACAAATTAGGTCAGGCAGTCCAGGCTATCCAATCACGGTAAGGATGTTCTGGACCTCTGCCCCAAAGTCCTGTATTAGCATGACCTACTGTGTGAAATCATTTAGAGCAGCTATTGGGCTTGGAGGTTGGAGGAGGTTATGAACCAATTCATCTCGGGACCAGCAGATTGGAATAGCAATAGCAGTAGACTTATATACCGCTTCATAGAGCTTTCAGCCCTCTCTAAGCGGTTTACAGAGAGTCAGCATATTGCCCCCAACAATCT